GGCTCTCGCTCAGCCGGTTCCTGTGAGGTAGGACCTAAAAAAGCCGGGGTCGAGCCCCTGAAGTCGCCTCTGGTTAATGGGGTGCGTGAAAGGGCCGGGGCGAAACCCCCGTCGTTGCTCGCTGGTCTGGGTGCGCCGGGCGGCGCCTTTGGCGGGGTTCGGGGGGATGGGGTTTGTTCCTCGTTTTGTATCCAGAAGCGCTTTTGCTGCCCATAGAAACAGGGCTTGTCGCTTCGGGCCATTCCAGCGTTAACGGAGCTCGAAACTGCTCGGAGTGCTTAAAATAACTTGTTAGAAATAGCAAGCGAAGCGACCTGTAAGCAGGGAGAGCTGTAACAGGTGCAAAAGTAACGTTTTCTTGGTAAATACGATGGGAATGTGCGGTCGTGGCACGGCGCGTCTTTGTTGGTTCTGGAAATAGTTTTAAGGACCCATTGGCTTCCTTGTGACAGAGTTTGGATTGGTCTGTCACTGCTGTGATTATTTGTGACGGTTATTCCAAAACCAGCGTGGAACAAAGACTGTTTCCTTTACTCTGAAAAAGAGCAATTCTTTGGAGCTGAGTGAGTCGCTGATTGCAGGCATCGTTTTTCTGGCAGTTCTCGTAATCTTTCTTCCTTTTTCAGAAGAGAAGCATCTGGAAAACTAACAGCTTAATTGTAAGAGTTTTAAGTTTGAGTCTTCCTCTGACTGTTGTGCTTAGAGCAAATATATTGCATCATATGTTAATCACCAGTTGTTATGCAAACCTTTGCAGGTGTCTGCAGTAATTTGTGCATAGTGTCTGTAGTTTATTGAATTACAGTAAGAGTAGTTTCCTGCCTGAATGAAATAAAGGCAGGGAGGCAGTCTTCGTTCTGTCTTTACATTGAGGCTGGAATTCAGTCATAACTCAGACACCAGAAAGTTATCTGCAGAGCTTTGTGGTGTAAATATACATATGTGAAGTGCTGGTCAGCGCAGGAAAGCAGCACACTCTTTGAGTGTAATCAACTGCTTTGTGTTGGGGACAGTTTTAGGTGGCACTTTATCCTACAGACTCCCTTGGGTTATCTTAATCTCAGTATGTGAAACAGCAGTACTTCTGTTACCTTTTTTCTTCAGGTAATACAAGTACAGAGTGTTTTATAAAGCTTTTTTTGCCAAGTGGTTGCCTCTGTCTTGCCCCTCAGGGATATTTGTGAGACCAACTGTGTTGCCATTCACACTGAGCTGATGAATGTGTTTCCTAGTTCTGATTATGTTGGTTCCCACACCCCCCCCCAGCTTTTCAAATCTTGCTACTACCATCACTGAATTGTTTTTACTTATTTTGTAAGCAAAGTGAAAGTTGTTCTACTAAGAAGTAGCAGATATCGTTGATAATTCATTCTTGAAGTTTCTTTATTAAACAGCTAATAGCAAAGATAAGCTACGTCTGTTTCTTTGAACTGAATTTACACTATATGGGGAAGATAAGGATGAGGTTAAATATTACTTTGAGCACGGAAGAAGTCCCTTCCAACGGGCTAAGTTAAATATTATTCCTCTTTACTCATCTTTGAGTGTGGAGCAGGGAAAAAGTCTCTTCCATTTATAAAGAAATCCCTTTTTCTTTCTTCAAGGTTCTGAAGCGGCTGTCTGAAGTCTTCCTTTTTAAAAACTTAAAAAGCAAGAACAATTCTGTTTTAATAAATGAAGGAGAATAAAGAAAATTCCAGCCCTTCTGTAAACTTGGCAAACCTGGACCATACAAAGCCATGCTGGTACTGGGATAAGAAAGACTTGGCACATACACCGTCGCAGCTAGAAGGCCTCGACCCAGCTACTGAGGCACGATACCGCAGGGAGGGGGCCAGGTTCATATTCGATGTGGGAACACGCTTGGGGCTGTATCCTTTCAAGTCATAGTGCTATGAAATGTCTTTATGAATGGGGGTTTTCAGAATGAAATGTACAAGGAATGGTGTTGTGTGCTTAGTTAGCTGTTCAAATGTTTCTTAATCATTAATCAAAAATCTTTTTAAGCTTACTTGCCTTTTGATGTCATATGTTCCTGGATAATTTTTATCCATTCGTTGGGTATACAAGGTTTCAACTTAACTCATTTGTCAGTAGAGAAGTAAGGTGATACAAGCTTACCAATTAAGGATAACTTTTGGCAGTTACCAAACTTGGTCTCTTACTATATTAATCTACATAACTTCTGAAATTTTGAATTTGGCATTCATTTTTCTAAATATTTTTCATCTGAGGCTTCTAACCTCTGCTTCCCCACTCTTCAGGGGTTTGTTTTGTTTGTTTCAAGTTGGGATTTACAGCTTTGTATAGGTTAGTAAATTCCTTCCACTATCTTACTCTCTCAAAGACTGACACTTAAACTTTTTGCTTCCTGTTCTATACTCCTGTGCTTCTTTTAATCTCCTCAGTTCTCTGTTTAATGAACCCTGGTGAAGATGAAATTCTACTCTTTTCCTTAAAGAGAACAGGAGGTAGCATGTTCAGATTTTATTGACATTTGTAGGTGTGAATAATTAGTAACTTCCCTCAACACCAACAGTTTCATGTGAAGTGACAATTGTTCTGTTCCCTCATGCACCTGCTGTTGGTTTTGACCCTCTCTGAGGCAGGTGTGGTTTAACATGAGGGTGACCTTGTGTGGATCCTCCTATAAATGTGACCAGGACTTTGTATGCCTCCAGTAAATGTTTTGGGTGTCAACTATAGCTGGGCCAAATCATAGTATTTGCACAGCCTTAAGGGGGTTTGTGGCCTTTTTTCCTAAAGCTCCTGTTTTATTTGCAGTGTTTTCTAACTGGTCGCTGAAAGGACAATTACCTGACTTACTTGAGACAGCAGAATGTATCTTTTCCTTTGTTTGGTTTTAAATTTGTTTTATGCACTGTTTGAAAGTCCTTATTCTGCACCACAGACATTATGATACTCTAGCAACTGGAATAATTTATTTCCATCGGTTTTATATGTTTCATTCCTTCAAACAATTCCCGAGATATGTAAGTATTTGCAATATTGATCACTTAATACAGCAATTGCACTAGGTACAGACTGTTTGAAGTGGTGATAAGTCACTTGCGTTCTACTGCTGTCCACTGCTCTGAATGATGAAAAATAAGCTTTTTATCCTTTAATCATTACATAAAGCTTAAAATAACACTGTTCTTGGTCGTTTACACAATGCTTAGAAACATTTATATTGACATTGAAGTTATTTCTTGCTGATGCTGCTCTTTAGAAAGAGTAACAGCTATAGTTCTGGCACTCCTGTATTGACTATAAGAAAAAAAAAAAAGGTGTAATACCATCTTCAAACTGCTTGACAGACAATGCTGAACCAGGACAAGTTCTGTTTTGAGTTTCTGACTTGAAATAAAGTTGTATAAAATGGACAGTCCTGCAAATTCTGTATTTTTCCTTTAAGAAAGTAAAAGATTAAACTAATACTACAATAAAATCAGAAATTAGTACACTGTACAGAACTGCTAATGAAAACTGATAGTGCTTTTATACAATGCTGGACTGTATTGCATATCTTCATGCAGACAAGTTTTTGAAAACACTTTCTGTTTTAGGTGACAGGAGCCTGCTGTCTCTTCCTGGCAGGAAAAGTTGAAGAAACACCTAAGAAATGTAAAGATATCATTAAAACAGCTCGTAGCTTGCTAAATGATGTACAATTTGGACAGTTTGGAGATGATCCAAAGGTAAAAATGCTTAGGTTGAAATTGATTTTTATCCTATTGTACTCCAGCAAAGTGACATAAATTCATTAGAGCACTGGCTGATCTTCAGTTGTTCTAAATTAAATTATATATTCAGCATGCATGTAGAGTTCCTTTGGATAACGTGAACTGTGAAAATAACTTTTGCTAATAAAGTAGCTTTGGGAGCCTACTGGGATAATTGTTTGTGTTAAAAGTTTGCATTTGATTTAATATAAATTCTGATGTTATTTTGCTAATTAAAGTAAACTTGAGTAGTTCCATTCAGTGCTAGAAACTTCATCAAGATATAAATCATGTTTGACAGTCTTGGTGTCACTTTAGGAAGCAGTGAATAGCAAATCCTAAGTAAGAGAACTACATCTCGAAGTATTGAGAAGTTTCCTGTTTAGGGTATTTGACTTAGCAAAAATGTGCTCCTCTCAAAATTTGCTTATTATAAATAGCAGAAGGATCTGAAACTCGGGAGAGAAATGTGGTGAGAGCTTCCCTTTTTGTTGTGATTTTGTATACTTGGCACTTCCATGCTGTGTCTGGTTCAGTTATTTCCTCCATGATAGAAAAGTAATTTAAAATGCCACATCCCCTCTCCTGCCCCAAATAAATGTGAAGAAAAAGTATCTGGGTTTAAAGTGGTTTTTTAAGTTGGTGAGATTTCTGTTCTCCATGGAGACAAACCCTGATGAAGCAAAAGCAGACAAACATATTGGCCTGGAAATGCTCTGTAGTCATGCTTTATACCAGCATAAAATATTTGTGAGTGGAAAAAAAGGAATAATATTGTGGTTGCCTTGTTACATTCTCTAGGAAGAAGTGATGGTCCTTGAAAGAATCTTACTACAAACAATAAAGTTTGATTTGCAAGTGGAACATCCATACCAATTTCTTCTCAAGTATGCCAAACAACTCAAAGGTAAAATACTGCAGCGTGAGCAAGTAATGCCTGTAATTAATTTTGAGAACTTAATTTACATTAACAGTGCAAGAGTATTCTATTCTAAACTATTTGTCCTTCCTAATAGCTATTTCTTACAACTTTTCTGTTTGTTTTTCAGGAGACAAAAATAAAATTCAAAAACTGGTTCAAATGGCATGGACATTTGTCAATGACAGGTAAGATACTTCTAGGAAACCTTTTGAAAGTGAAATAGTTACTGTTGCTTCCTTTATTCTGGGATTAGATATTTCTTTGACAAATGCTTGGTTTATGTTTTCTGCTTGTTACTTGTTTTCTTCATTGTATTCAACAGTTTTTCTTTCCATCCTTACCATGATAGTTTCATTGAGCAGAGAATCTAGGATGAGCATAGAAGTAGACCGTTAAGATCTTGGCAATTTTGTAGTAAAATTTAATGCATTTTTTAAAAGTTACTGTTTGAGAGGGACAAACTGAATTATAGATCTCCAAGACAGAAGCTGGCTGCTTGCCCAATCTGAGATATATGGCACATTCTGAGAAAATAAATCACTTCCCAATTACATCACATTGGTCAACACTTTTTCTAAATTGATATTTTGGTTATGGTAAACTAGCCATTAAATTCAGTGAGGAATACAGTTTTAGCACTAGATTTACAGTTTCTTGAGTGTGTCTAGAACCACTTTTCATGTGTAGCATGGTATTGGGGGAAAAAAACCCTACCCAAAACAACTCAGTACAGTTTAGTCTTGTTAAGGATGATTCTACAGAGCTGTGCAAGTTTGTTCACCAAGGATGGTTACATGTAACTTTTAGTTTCTGTAGCAAACCCTTAGGAAAATGTGTAAGTGGCCTGGCTATTCAGAAATGCTAAGTACCTTGCTTTCAGTCATAGCTATAGGCAGTAGAGCGCCATTAAAGAAGAGCATTTATATTCATATGCCTAATTTGAAATAGCCCATTGTGGGTCCAAATTCTGCAGGTATTGCTTAAACCCTCCAAATCACTTCAAGCAAAAGATTGCTTAGTGTATTTGGATGTCAAGAGATGCTTACTTCAGCTGCTGTCTGTCTTGCAGATGATGATCTTACAGGTGGAACAGAAATACAGCTTGACTAGTTGTCACTGTTAAGTAGTTTGTCAGGGAAAACTTCTATGTATCCATCAAACTTTGGACACTACTGCACTTGGAATTACATGGTGTTTAATAATTCAAGGAATTTAATAATTAAAGAAAGTGCACTTCAGGAAGACATTAGTATGAAGTTGGAGTGATTGTTTCAAGTAATACCTTTGTTCTGGAGAGACTATCTTGAGTTTACTTACTAGGCACCATATTAGAAGTGTACTTGTTTTCTAGGATCCTGGGAAAATAGTTCTGCACTTTGCACTACAGACCTTTAGAACAGGGGGTTTTGTTCTCACACAGCCACTGTGCACCCCCCAAGTAAATGTCAGGGAAGTAATAAGAAATCAGTATTTTAAGAACTAGTTCTTGTGTCTTTTACTGTTTAATGCTAACCTGATTCTGCCAGTATTTAAGTATTCCCTTGGCCTTCTGTTACATGTAGCCCACTGGAGAGAAAAAATACTTAAACCATGGTCTAGGCTACTGTTTGGATGCATTTAAGGACATAATGAATTAATCAGTGAATTGTCAGAAACTTAGCTGGCTAGCTGGGTCTAAGATTTTTTAAGCAGATCCTGTGTTATAGAATCTATGGAGGAAAAAGAAAGAAAAAGGCCAGGTTGGATGAGGTTCAAGGCCAGGTTGGATGAGGTTCAAAGCCAGGTTGGATGAGGCTTTGAGCAACCTGGAAGGTGTCCCTGCTGATGGCAGGGGGGTTGGAACTGGATGATCCTTAAGGTGCCTTCCAACCCAAACCATTCTGTGATTCTATGAAAAAAGGGAGAAAAAATAGACAAGAAACAAATTTTGTAGTTTAAAATGAATATCAGGAAAACAGTAACTTTGACTGTGACAGGAACTTATTCAGTTAATATCAATAATTCCAATAATATCGGTTATTTTACCATGAGCTTTAACAAAAGCTATTCAAGAGATAACTTTTTATGATTTTTACAGCTTGATCTAAAACTTGCATCGTGCTTGATAAGTTGCTTTACAAGTTAATGTTGGCTGTTCTGTGGGGTTTCTTTCAGTTGTTGTCTACATTTTGTTGAAAAACATTTAGAAACTCCAAACTCCAAGTGTGGACATCATTCCCTAACCAGTGTAGTGCAGTGACGTCATACTGGTGTAGCAGTGAACACGAACACTGTTTGGTTAGGGCTACAGGTGAGACTAGAGTGGAATGTAGCTGCCCATACTTGGAATGTAAGGCTGTCTTTTCCTTCTTCCACACCCAGGTAGTGTTAGGTTTTCTATTTTTTAAACTCCATACCTGATGTTTATATGTAGTGTATTACCTCTGCAGGCATGTCCTCTCTATTAACTGTAAAGTTGCCCTGTTTCATGGTAGCAGTAGTGCAGAAACAGTTTCGTTTTGTAAACTCTTCAGTTTAACAAGGCTACTTCTAGGTTTCTCTGTTAAAACTGTGTGGTGGGATTTTATACCCTGTTAGTTATAACTGTCATACATCAAAATTTTGTACTTTGAAAATCAGAATTATCTTCAGGGTTGTGGGTTTGGTTTTTGTTTTTTCTTGTGTTCCAGTCTCTGCACGACACTGTCACTGCAGTGGGAGCCCGAGATCATCGCTGTTGCAGTCATGTACTTAGCAGGCCGTTTATGTAAGTTTGAAATACAGGAGTGGACATCAAAACCGATGTACAGGCGATGGTGGGAGCAATTTGTCCAGGATGTTCCTGTTGATGTTCTGGAAGGTATGAAAAACACTTGCCACAAACAGAGGAGTATTTCCTTTAACTGTGTGATCTAGGTCATAAATAAATGCAAATTGCTTTCTATCTAGGCTTTAGTCAAAATAATCATGTATAGAGCATGTAATTCAGGTCATATGTGCTATACCTTAACCAGGTTTTTAATTAAATGTGTTAAACTGGCTTAGTCTGGAAGCATCTTTAGTTATGATTAGTCTTCTGGTCAATATTTGCTTCATGACTTGTTTAGTTTATAACACAGCTAATTTGCTGCTAAATTGTCATATGTGTGTTTTCTATTTTTTTAATGATTCCCTTCTCCCCGTTTTAAATAAGCAGCTCTACGAACACTGGAGCTAGTGGAGCCTGGTTTCTAGTAGTTTTCTCATTGATGATTGACCTCTTTAACCAAATTATAGTGGGGTTACAGTCACATTTTATGGTGTACTGTGACTGAGGAAGAGATTATGGGGCATGAATTCTGGGGTGGGGTGTGTGTGAATTCTGATAGGGGATGAATTATGGATCTTTTTCATCTATACAGATAGCCTAATACTATTTTATTTGTATGTATATATTGCCCATATTTATCTGCTGCTTGTCCTCTTGACAGAGAGAACCTCAGGAAGTTCATAAAATAAAACGGGACCTCCTTTGACTCTTTTTAAGTAAATTGTGGCTATGTGGCCACTAATTTGTCTTTATTAAAGTTTTTAGTGACTACCTGGTACAAATGTCAGGCTAAGAATACTTGTAGTTCCTTAAATGCTTTAGCAACCTTCTTTAAAAATTGATGCTTGTCACAATCTGGCATTGGATTCTAAGGAATTTTTAAGTGAAACAGTGTATGTTGCTGTTCTGGTGGTTTCAGCCTTTGTTGATCTTGGACTTTCGGGTTTGGTGGTTTGATCCACAGTAGGACCATGTGGTCCTGCACTCCCTCCCCCACCTGGCGAGATGGGAAGGGAGACAAAACAAAGGGGACACAGATTAGGATGAGGACA